CGGCGGCCGCGAACTGCATGGGGGAGCGCGGGCCGCGCACGGAAAGATGCCCCGGCCGGAGTTGCCCCTGCCGGAGGGCTGGGAGGAGGCGCGCGACTTCGACGGCAAGGTCTACTACATAGATCACACGAGCCGCACTACCAGCTGGATCGACCCGCGGGACAGGTAGGGACCCGGGGTGGAAGAAGCCCTCTCTCTTCCCGGGCACCTCTGCCTGGACTCCACCTGCCCTTGGGGCTAGCGACCCGGGCTGGGGGTGCTGTGCGCGCCCCTTGCGCTTTCTTCACTTTGCCCCCCACCCTCACCACTCCTGGAGCGCCACTCCTGCCTCAGGGGGCGCCCCGCCGCGGTCCCCAGGTGGAAAACTTAGGCCCCAGCCGGCACCTGGCGAGAGTTTTGACCTTAAGCTGTAGCCCCGCCCCCGCCCCTTTAGAAGGAGAGGTCGGACGGGGGAGGGGGGAACGACCCAGCCGGGGCCGACCGGGTCTTCCCCAGAGGCCCTCGGGGCTCAGGGGATGGGATCTGGCTTGGAGGGGCGTTAGGGACCCCGCGTTAGGTGGGAGACGGCCCGAGGAAGGGCATTCGGCGAGGGGCGGGCCACGCGAGGAGCTTGCTTTTTGACAGGTGCCTCCCGGGCTGTAGTGGGGAGGCCGCGAGTAGGAAGGGAAGGAGGGAGCAGGGAGGCCGGATGAGGGAGACAGGTTCTCCAGGAATCTCGCAGCAACTTGGAAGCTGTTAGGATGTAGATGGAGGTGAGAGGACTCCCAGCAAGCCCTGCCCCTCTGTCGTCCTGCTCCTTTCTTCCCTCTGGGCTTGAGGCTCTGTCCTGCACCGGCGCGCTCTGACCTTGGTGGGCACCACGCCGGCGATAGCACGAAATTTTGCCGAGGCAAGTAGAGTCTCCGCTCCAGACTTTTCTCCCGGTTGTGATGCTGGGCTCTGGTGTTTGCACGCGCACCCTCCCCGTGTATACCCTGGGATCTGTCACTCCGGACGACTTTGTTATCCTTTGCTGACATAGGATTGTGCTCAGCGTTTCCGCAATGTGGAATTTTCACCTGGTCTGTGACCTTGAGGGTGAGGTGAATTTTTTGGAACCTTCATTCTGTGGGGCTTGGGAGAGGTTGTGTCTGAGAAGTCCAGGATGGAGAGTGTGGCAAAAAGTGTGGTGGGGCTGGGAGTGTGACAGTTGGAATTTCTTGTAGTTTCTGTTGCGGACTTGGGTTCATTTATCCATCCATCCATCCTTTGCACGGTGCCCACTCAGTGGTCAGCACCATGCAGAAGGTCTTAATGTGACTTGGAGAGTAATATTTTAATGGTAGAGAGTGTCTCTAGGCAGGCTGCCCCTCAAATTTCCTGCTTGCAGACGAGGGCTTTGGAGGGAAAGAGTAATAGTAGGACTCTTGAAAGTTGAAGGGGACTCAACTCCCATGTTTTTTTTAAACTGAAGAGACAATTTGAAGCTCAGATCCGCTCAGGAATTTTGGTGTTTCCATTGGCATACCCCAACTTCTTGTTCTGCTCTGATACTCAGCCTCCACATGGGTCTTCCTGACAGGGTTCTCTGTCCCCTGCTTCAGGTGACTTGCCTTAGGGGCTGCGAAAACTGTGTTGGTGAACTTGGCCGACCTCATTCCCTTCTCTCCTCAGAGCAGACAAGTTGAAACATATGGGTCCCTTTCCATGGAAGTCCTGGCTGCTGACCCAGGCCCCAGACGCTGATTGCACTTGAGCCTCAAGTTGGAGGATGCCTCTGCACCCCCAAAGTGATGATAATACAGCCTTAGGAAGGTCCCGGCAAACACCAGTCATTCTTTCCCCTTGGAAGAAGGCAAGTGTGTCACTTCTGTGAAGAACTGACTTGGCTAAAACACAGTTTACCCAATTTTAGTCCACTTTCATGACCTTTGATACAGCCACCTGAGCGATCGCTTACTTAATACTCAACTTTAGATCAAGTCACTTCAAACATCTTTGCACCACTTTCATGAATGGGAAACTCATAATATCCATTGCTGTAAAGAACAAAAAAACCTTTAAAAGATATGGTCAGTGGAAGAAACGCAGAAAAAAGGGAGCTGAGGAAGAAAAGGGTGGTCATGTTTTAGCTAGATACTGTGGCCTGCATAGGGTCCTAGCTCCAGGGCCTGCGCAATCTTTATTTTTACTCAGATTGGCTTAAAAACAGTGGAGAGAAGTCAAAAACATATCAGCATTTATGGAGCTGCTTTTTTTCTTCACCTGGTATGTCTCTGGGTTTTAAGGTTTTCTTTTTCTTGCCTCCCAATCATCCGTCCTACCTGCACTGGGCAGTTGTTGTGGACCAGCCTTGAAGGTCTGGGGGCAGAGCTGAGTGAAGGACATCCACCTACGGCCTCTGGAATTTCCCTTCTGTGTACCCAGTTAATGATTTCTGCCGTTCAGTCCTGCCTGTGTGGCCACCGGCCCATTCCTTGACCTGTCTGAGTTTGAATGCTTCATGGTGAGAGAAGTTGACTCGGTAGCCTGCAAGGGCCTATTTGTTTTCAAATATGCTTTCAGAGCCTCCTGCTTCTTCTTAACTTACCAGACTTTATGGGGGTGGGGGACGGGGAGCCTGGGAAGAACTTTAGGGAAGAGAAGAAGTGAATAAACAACGTTGAAAAGAACTGAACTTTTCTCCAATGGTGAGGTGGGGAGATAAATTCTCCCAGGGCAGTCGAATCTCTGCAACTCAATGCTGTGAAACAAACCAAACTCACATTTATTAAAAAAAAAAACTTCCACTCTTTAAAGAGTACGTGTGTGTGTGTGTGTGTGTGTGTGTGTGTGTGTGTTTTCTTGTCTTTGTCCTTAATCATGGAGATGCCTGCCCATTCCCTTGAATTTAAAAGAAGTCAGTCAAATGGTCCTTCAGTTGGAAAAGTGATTTCTTAGCCACCAAGGACAAAATAGCTTCTCCGGTTACCAACCCTAAAGAATGTCTTGGCACATTCCTGCTCTGGGGCCTGCACTGTTTTGTGTGCTGTCCGGCTTGGAGCTGCTGGGGGTAGGGACTCTGGTTTTCAGCTTCCCCTTTCACCAGGGGGTTGGAAGAGCAGCCAAGCAGCCAGCTTTGCCAACTCTCTCCCCTTCTCACCCAGGGAAGACTGGGAGGCTGAAATTCCTCAGGATAGTTGTCTCAACAACCAGCAAGGGTCCAGTGAGTAGCTTGGGCCCTGCTCACTGGGCCAAAAAGGCTCCAACAACGCATGAGGTGTGCCTGAGTCAAGCCCAGTCTGGCAAGGTCATGATCCCTAAGGAATCAGGTGCTGCAGGCCAGGCCTGAGAGCCAGCATCCTGGGGCAGTAGTAGTTGGGTGCTTCTGGGAGCGGCCATTGCTGGACCAAGGGTCTTGTCTCTTCCTGTTGTATTTAATTCATGGTGTGTAAAAACAAACGCATGGATTGTTCTTTGAGGAAGAATGGTTCTTTGGGACTGGCTCTACTAGAGAAAGTTCCTGAAGTTGGATTCCTGCTCATTCCCTGCTTTATTTTCAGATCTTTATTCTGGAACCCACTGGGAACCCCAGGCAGTTTCTGGGACTGGGTAGGAAGTCCTAGAGGCCCTTGTGGGTCTAGAACTCGGAAGTTTCCCTTATGATTTTGTGGCCAACTTTTGCTAACCCTGCTGTTTCCGAAATAGTTTATATTGTAGAAAGTTGGGTCTGAGCACTCAGTCTTACCTTTCTTTATATACCAGACCTTTATGAGACTCTGATGGATATAGAGGGCTCTTCCTAAAGAGCAAACACATTTTTTTTTAAAGTCCTAGCAGCGCTGGGACTAGGTACAGTCATCTACTTGAATTACCCGAGGCTCCCGGTGAGAGTAGATTCTGTGAAGGCACCTGACTTTCTCTTTTTTGAGGGGGTGTGGGTACTGGGGATTAAACCCAGGACTCCATGGCCAGCCCAAGGCCCTCAGCTTTTGTGAAGCTGCCATGTGAATGCCCAGGAGGCTGACCCTGGAACCCACATTTCCAACCACTGCACTGTTCAGCTTCCTCCTGAAGAGGAGAATAGCTTCCTCCTGAGAGTAGCTGGCGCAAGACCTCTCCTCTGGCTCAGGAATTTGGCCTTGGGAAGTGGAAGTGCAACAGGCGTGACCACTTACCTGTGGCTGTGATGGGTGCCAGGCCACGGGGCAGCCACAGGCAGGTGAATAGTGCAGAGGGGGAGCCTTTGGACCCTGAAATCTTGGAGCTGCTGCTTGCTCGCGGAGTGACCTCGGCAAGTTACATGTTCTCTCTGAACCTCTCTTTTTGTCTCTTTTTGGCTGAGGGGCTGCACATAAGCCATCAAGGGTAACTGTGAGCATTAAATAGGCTAAAGCAGATAGGAGGGCAAGCACAGGGCCTGGATAGAGGAGGCGCCCAGAATGCCAGTTCCCTTTACTAGACAAAGTAAGTCAGTGGGAGG